TTTTTTTTTTCCCCCCCGACTGCCCCTGCAGATCACGAGGAGCGCATATTACTGCAAATCTGTCAAAAAAATGCTGGCGGGTGGGAGTGAGCTGGGGGGAATGGGATGATCTGTCTTGGGCGCGATCGCTTGGATTCTCCCTCCCATGTCCGCGCCCCGTGAGGCGGCTGGTAGAGAACCGACAGCAACGTCTTGTACGAGCCGTCGATGCCGATCACGGTCTTGTCCGCCGCGCCGCGGCACGCCGCCGACATCCCACGAACGAGCGGGTGCGCGAGCACGCCCTCGGCGAGGGTGTGGAAGATGCGATGGCACTCAGGAAGCAAGTATCTCGTATAATCAGACTTCTCTCCGAGCGAAGACAAGACGCGCTCCCGCGCGCCCTTGGTGGCGGGGTGCAGGAGCGTCGCCAGGAAGTTCACGAGGAACGCGTCGGTGCAGAGGTACTGCGCGCTGATCCTGTGGTAGTGGCGATCGTCCAACCGGAGAACGTATCTCGATTGCCCGTTGCCGTCAAGTAACATCACGAGGTCCCTGTCGAGCCACGTGCCAGACTTCTTCGCCAAGCTGGCTTTCTCCTTTTCCCACGACGGGCTGGCCTCGATCCCGCTCCGCAGGATGCCCGCGCTCCTGCGCAAGAACTGGTCGTCCGCCTCGTCAGGGTCGCACCCGAAGAGAGACGACGCGCGGCCCTGAATGCATCGCCCGTTCCACAGCGCGGAGATCACGCGCGCCTGCTTGTCAGACAAAACTCCAGAAGTGTACTTCTCGTGATAGACCGCCATGTGGTCGAGCAAGCGGCAACGACGGTCGAACGCCTTGACTGGGCACATGGGGCACCTCCACACTCCGTCCTGGAAGCAGCTCGGATCAGGCGGCTGGGCCACGGCGCGATCGCGCCAACACTCCAGCTCGCTGCGGATCACCGCGAGGAGAGGCGGCGGCCAGCGCCCGGCGTGCGCCGCGCCTGCGGCTCCAGCGCCGGCTGCGGCTGGTCTGCGAATCGGCGGCATGCTAGCGGCTGGCGCGCAGGCGCGGTCGGCCGAGGCGCCCTCCCGCCTGGCTTTGACTGGAACGCCTGCAGTAGAGCGATTGCTGCGTCTACCAGGGCTTCATCACGCCCGAGAAACGATAGTTTGAAGTCTCTCGTTTCAACAAACATGGGGCGCCGTCCAAGCTCCATCTGGGTTACTTATGGGTCATGCGCCAATCCTGGCAGTGATCCCGATGTGGACGTGCAGGCGCCCTAACACACCAAGGACAACGATATCATGTGAATGATATACATCACACACCGAAAGCTTGCTAGCCTTCGCTGGAGCGGCGGCGGCAAGCGGTTCTGAAACGGCAGCAGCAAGCAGCTTGCAGGCAGTAGCGGCAGCGGCAAAGAATACAGCGCGGGAGACGCCATCGCTCGTTTCTCACCCGCACGAGACCATTGATCCGCAACAATGAGGAAAACGAGTACCTGGACCCCTATCACAAGGTACACGCGAGATGCCTGAAGAAAGACCTACCCCGAGAGCTGCAGAGAAATGCGACTGTGCATTCGCGGATGAGAACAAATAAGCAAACTTGCGCTCGGAGCCCAGAACAACTGGCGCGCGCTACTCAGCGGCGCGAGGCCCGGTGACCGAAAGTTGGGCCGACGCGCATCCGGTGGTTCGGCTGCACGCCCTCCGCCTCGGTAGATCGAGTTCGTCGAACGACTCGCTGATCGGGTGCCGCTGCGGAAATGCAGGCCGCTGAACCGAACAAATGCCGATGGACTTACTCTCATGGCAAGAGTTGAACATCGACCACGATCTGACCCATCTTTCCGTGCCCTGTGAAGATCGATCGCCACCGACGAGACCTGATCAGCGATCTCGGCGACCCCGCGGGGCGCAAATCGACGAGGCCCCTGCGTCGAAAACAATGGTGCGATGACGCGGCAGGCCCAAGGACGCCTGCACTACCCTCTCCATGTGGCTCCACGTGGTCGCCCAGGGGACGTCGGCGTGCTCGGCCCAGTCCGGCACGTCCGGCGACCCCATGGACACGACGCACGTGCGATCCTTAGTGGCCGCAGTCACGCGGCATCGCATCGCCTCTGATCCCGCGGTCGGACGACCTTCGGCCATCGGGGAAGGAATCAGATCGATCGCGCGACCTCTTCGATTATCAATCGAATCGCTGGTACAAGGGCGCTGGCACGATCGTTGTGGCCCTCGCACACAACGAAGACCTCGAGGCACATGTGCGGCCGGATAATCATTGGGCGAAGCCCAGGGGCGGTCGAACGCCACAGCAGGTATCCGTGGAAATCGAGGGTCGTCTCGAAGTATTCGTAGAAGGCAGGCCAAGCGCACAGCACAATGCGGTCCTGAAGAGAGAGCAGAGGTGGCATGGGAAATCATGTATTTGATGTTTCACGACGCATGTGCTGACAATGGTTTCGTGCGAGAAGAAAGGGGGTGGAGGAAAACAATGATAACGTATGTGTTGTATGGATTCTGTATTCGCCAGCAGACAAGCGCGCAGACTGGGAGTGGCTCACCCGGCGCCAGGCATCATCTGCCGGCACCACTGCCCCCGGAGCAGCGCTCGACAACAGGGCGTACTCGTACGCCATCACCGAAGACGACGGGCCGGGGCGTTCAGCGATGCGGGCAAGTGCCTGATTCACACAAAACTGCGGAGGTGATTCGGTTGGAAGAGGGGGCAAGCGGCCGACCACACGGCGAAGCGAGTATGGAACGTGGCGAGGCGCAACAATGCTCTGTTTGGCACTAAGATGGAACGCAGGCAGATCTCGTCTTGGTTTCTAATGAGCCATGCGCCGAGCCTGGCAGCGATTCCGAAGTGGATGTGCAAGCGTTCTACCGCAACAAAAGAAAACGATATCAGGTAAATCCTACACACAAGCTAACCGTCGCTGGAGAGGCGGCGGCAAGCGGCCCCGAAACAGCAAAAGCAAACAGGCAGCAGGCAGGCAGTAGCGGCAGCGGCAAATAAAGCAGCGCGAGGGGCGCCACGTTTGTTTCTCACGTAAACGATACAGCGATACAGTCTCCACGCGCAACAGTCCAAAAACGGGGACCTGGACCCCGCATCACATGGTCCCCGCAAGCTGCTCTACATCGGCTATCCAAAGCAGCTCCTTAGATGCGAAAAATCACGAGCGGTGCGCGGGCGGCGGTGACCAGGTGCCCCCCGACGGACGCGAAGTGGTCCGCCCAGTCGGGGGGCATCCCGTCCAGGTCGCTGGCATACAAGTAGATCCAGCCAACTACCACCTTCGGTAACATCCGCAGCAAGTTGCTCCATACCTGCGGTGGCACCGTCGAAGCGCTCGCATCGGCAGCGCAGCCGAGTCACTCCTCGGTCGCCGTGCCGACCGCGCATCGGCCAGATGCCGCGTTCGAGGCCGGAGCGGCGCTCCGAGGAGCGACTCGCGTGAGCCGCCGATGCGAGCGCTTCGACAGCAAGCCAGGCGCCTCCGAGGACATCCAACCGAGGTTCGACGCAACCAGCACCCACGAGGCGAGGTGCTGGTCGGACAGCCACTTGCTCGCCTTGGTGCGAGGGCAACGAAGCTAGGCGCGAAACCGACGTCGACCATCGATGGGGCGACACGGCGCACGAAATGCAATCGTGAGATTTCATTGCGTTACCCAAAAAATCATGACACCGATCGCTCGTGGGTCCCAACTCTCCGATCGAATTGGCGACTGGGCTATAGACCAGGGCGGTGCCGCGGACGTCAACGGGCATCCACGCTCGAGCATCCGTGGATGGCACGTGGATGCAGAAGAACCCATTCAGCACGACATTGGGGGCGGCCATAGTGGCTGCAAGCGGGAAGAAAGGCGGGGAAAGTGGTTGCGTCCTGTCAGGAAGCCTGGGGCAGAACGCCTGCAGGTCGATAAGCGAACGGACTGGGCGAGCCCGGTGCGTTGGGGGAACGCTCGGCGAGCCGATCGGCCGCGACGGGAGAGGAGGGGGAGTGCGGCAGGGAGACATGCGATTTCGACGAGCAGAACAACGCCTCATCGCGGATAGAACGGATTTGGCATCATGGGCACCAAATCCGTTCCGCAAGGTTTTAAGGTTTACGTTCGGACTACTGCATTCGAACGCGCGGCGACTCGTTCACAGCCCAGCCGGGCGCCAGCCAAAACGAATTTCGAGCTCAACGAGCAGGGCGAACAAATGCAGAACGGATTTGGCAATGCAAAGACCAAATCCGTTCCGTGTGTTCTAGGGATCCCTTTCGGACGCTTCGTTTCGATGCAGTTGGGTCGGGTTTGGCAACGTAAGTGGCAAATCCGATCCGCGTGCCCCAGCGGTCACGTTCGCACGACTGCATTCGAAATTCCAAATGAATCGCCCACGGCCCAGCCGAGCGCCAATCAAAACCAAATTCGGGCCCAACGAGCAGTGCAACAATTCATCGAATGCGTAACGGATTTGGCAATTCAAGGGCCAAATCCGTTCCATGAGCTCCAGCGATCACTTTGGGGCCCTCGGTTCCGATGCAGATGGAACGGATTTGGCAACATGAGGGCCAAATCCGTTCCACGTGCTCGGAACACTAATTTCGAACCTGCGCAGACGACCACGCGGCGAACTGATTACGGCCCAGGAGGGGGTTGTCAGTGAGACACTCAACTCCAACAAGAAAGACAACTACTCGTCGCAGAACTGTGGCTTCGGCAACATGCGAGGCGCATCCGTTCCGCGTGCTCGAGCGATCACTTTCGAACTCCATGCGACGCCCCCCGCATGGAGCATCCCCTCCCTCTGCTGCTCGCCCGCCCCGCGCGCCAGCCGTCGCTCGGGCCTGACTGATGCCCGCGCGACACTGGCGTCGCCCCTGGAAAATGGTTACCTAGACAGGCCAGCCGCGCAATCGCGGCGAGCGCGATAGCTGCTGCTCGGCAGCAGGGCGGCTCGACCCCGCTCTCAGCACGCGCTCCGCCCCTTCACCAGTCAATCTACACGCAATTTTCGCTGAGCTAGTCGACGATGTCGTCACCCCCCTGATTCTGCGACGCGTAGCTGGCCGCGGCGTCGGCGTCGTCGCCCGCGCGCATCTTCTTGCTCTGCCCGCTCGGCGACGAGATGTCGTTCAAGTCGATCTCAGCGTTCTCTGCGGACTGGCCCGAGAGGGAACGCGCGAACGCACGCCTCCGCTGCGGTGGGGGTGGTGAAGGTATCTCCTGCTTCACACTCGCGCCGGCGGCGGCAGCGCTGCTGGCCGAGCCACTCCCAGACCACAGCTTCCTCTTGAATAGCTCGGATTTCTCTGCCTCCATCTGGGTTCTGGTGGCCAGAGGGATCAGCTCGCCAGTCTTCTTCCAGCGCTTCAAGATCTTAAGTGCCTCGTCAGTTATGAGCTTCGGCGTCTTGAGCTCGTAGCGCTCGATCTTGACCTCGTCGCCGACTCCAGCGGGGCGCACGTAGAACGACTTCTCCGTGTTCACGTATACTTGGACGCGTCGCAATACGGCTTCAATGTCAGGCTGGCTCATTTCCACGTGGAACGCAGGCCGGATCATCTTGCTGAAAACCTCGTAGCTAATGCCAGTGTACCCGAAGCCCGCCGACTGCGGATACCTCGCGGAAAACAGATTTCTCTGCTGAAGGGTTCTCCCCAGAGCCGCGTCTGCGAGTCTTGCGATCGCCGCTGGCCACAGGATCTGGCCCGCCGAAAGCTGGGGTTCACATCCCAGCGACGATCGCAAGCACGCTCGACCAGGCTCCAGTGAGAGGGGGCAGAGAAACTTGATTTCCGAAATGGCAACTCCGACCTCTGACCGTCGAGGGTGATGTGGGGCTCTGCCGCCAGGTCCACCTTATTGTCCCCCGCGCTGCGGTGCTCCTTGCCGTCGAACTTGGTGCTCGAATACCTTTCCGTTGTCATCTGAGACTTTTTCTTCTTATCGAAGAAGGCCTTTATCTTTCTCGGAGGCATTCGGTCCAGATCGCCATCGTCGAACATGGTAGAGATGTGCGGTTGGCCAGCGTCCTCGCGGAAATGGTCGAAGTCTGTGGAGGAGCGAACGCCGGCCGTCGCGCCGACGAGGTCCAGCTCGAAGATGCGGTAGCGCGCCATGGCGAAACCGACGATGCACTGCACGCTGGACTTGCCGCTCCCGCCGATTCCAAGCCACAACTGCGCATCCTCGTCCCATTTGTCCATGTGCTTTTCGAGGATGGGCTGAAGCCATGGCTGGATATGGCACCAGAACAACGGATACTCCTCCTCAGGCGCTGCCTGGGCGTCCGCGTCCTTCAGGTCCTTGATGGCAGCGAGGACGCGGCCGACGTTCCAGCCGAAGATCGGAGATTCCTCCCTCTGCGTCTCTGTGTCGACCCAGCGGCGCATCTTGCAACCTCTTTTGGTAAAGAAGTGCTTGTTCTTCTCGATGAAGTCGTAGCCGTCGGAGATCTGCTGCGGCGTTTCCAGGTTGTCACAACGCTTGCCAGACTTCGTCTTGAAGGTATGGTACGTAACCTGGAAGCCGCCCATGCGCTGGAACAGGTAGATGAAAGCTAGCGGCCCAACTCTCTTGTTTGCCCCGAAATTCACCAAGATTGCATCTCCCTGGCACACGCGCCGTGCAACTTCGAGAGGGGGCTTCCCGTCGAACACGAAGTGCTTGAACACCTCAACCTTGTTGTTTTCGGCTGGAAGAATGCACAAGTTCATGTGGAAGTTGAATGCTATCACGGCCTTCGGGCTGAGAACGCCTGGGAGTTGGAGATACTCGTGGTTCTGCATCAGACCCAACACGGCGACCCTGTCGAACATGTCATCGACGTTCAAGCAAACGTCGACAAGGTGCGTTACGGTCAGCGTGCCAGGCTTTGAACGCGAAGTGAGCTCGTCCATGAGCGGCAAGTGCGCCGGCTGGATGGCCCGCCGCGGGCCGTCGTGGTGGTCAGGCTTCTTGATGGTTGCGCACACCAGAGCGCCCGTCACCTTCACCGCGAGCTCGAAAGAGATCGCACAATCTTCTTCTTGCTCGTATTGCTGGGCCAACGTCAAAGGCGCGCCCGATGAGGACTGCGCGCCTGAGCTGGCGGCCATCTCGCGCCGACCTGGCGCGAGGGCGAAGCGATGCCAGGCCGCTTCGGTCTCGGCACCCCAATCAAAATTGAGCCCAAACCTAAATACGCATCGTTGTAAAATATACAGCGCGCGTGTTCTAGATGTTGGCATTCACAGTGCGCGCGCGTGGCAATGTGCGTAACATAAACTACATGTGAACGTGTGGATACGCATATGTTAGCTTTCTGGCATGGCCAAATCAAGAAACCATGCGCGCTTCTACCCGCGCTCTCTGCAATAGGTGCACGCTGACCTCAACCCGAGAAACCTGCCGACTCGCTCCCGCCCGCTCCCGCTCGGCTCCCGCAAGGCTTCTCTGGCGAAGCGCGTTTCCACGAGCTGCCACACATTTTCCGTTCGTGCTCGCATGACAAAGATGAGCATCGATATCTTTGGATCAGCGAAGCCACTTGGACCTAGAGGCATGCAAGAGAGAGAGAGAGAGAGAGAGAGAGAGGGAGAGAGAGAAAGAGAGAGAGAATGATAATGGGAACTACCGAAGGATACAGGAAACGAGAAAGGCAATGATAAAGCTGGAGACACACACACACACACAAGAACACACACACAAGCCACCTACACAAAGATACCACCCCCACGGAGGAGGAGGAGGAGGAGGAGGAGGAGGAGGAGGAGGAGGAGGAGGAGGAGGAGGAGGAGGAGGAGGAGGAGGAGGAAGAGGAGGAGGAGGAGGAGGAGGAGGAGGAGGAGGAGGAGGAGGAGGAGGAGGAGGAGGAGGAGGAGGAGGAGGAGGAGGAGGAGGAGGAGGAGGAGGAGGAGGGAGCGGAGGAGGAAGAGGAGGAGGAGTAGGAGGAGGAGGAGGAGGAGGAGGAGAATGAGCATCAGGAGGGGCAGCAGGTGGTGGAGGAGGAGGAGGAGGAAAGAGGAGGAGGAGGAGGAGGAGGAGGAGGAGGAGGAGGAGGACAAGGAAGACCGCCATGGAGAAAGGGGGTCCTGAGGGAAACAGATCTTGGACCATGGGGCTTTTGTCCCCAGCACCAGCTCCTCATCCCGAGCCGTTTTTGTTGGCGGCCCTGGGGCCCTTGGAGGGCCGCAGTGGGGCAGAGAGCGGCGAAACTGTCCAGGGACCCTTTTTTGCAGGACCTGGCTTTTTCATGCCGAGGAGGAGGGCGGTAGGTAGAGGAGACGGATGATGATGCTGATGTTGATGCTGCTGACGTTGATGCTGTTGCTGCTGCTGATGATGATGCTGATGGTGCTGATGATGATGCTGCTGCTGCTGCTGATGATGATGATGATGATGATGATGATGATGATGATGATGATGATGATGATGATGATGATGATGATGATGATGATGATGATGATGATGATGATGATGATGATGATGATGATGATGATGATGATGATGATGATGATGATGATGATGATGATGATGATGATGATGATGATGATGATGATGATTGATGATGATGATGATGATGATGATGATGATGATGATGATGATGATTGATGATGATGATGATGATGATGATGATGATGATGATGATGATGATGATGATGATGATGATGATGATGATGATGATGATGATGATGATGATGATGATGATGATGATGATGATGATGGTGGTGGTGGTGGTGGTGGTGGTGGTGGTGGTGGTGGTGGTGGTGGTGATGATGATGATGATGATGAGGATGATGATGACGACGACGAGGAGGACGAGGAGGAGGAGGAGGAGGAGGGAGACGAAGGACGCAGCAAGTATAGCATTTAATGTCCGCTCTACGCCAAAATAAGAGGAGGACGGAGAAGGGAGAAGGGGCAGCCTGGGCTTGACAGGGCTGCCTCCAGCTCCAGCGAAGCCCTGCTTGCGCTCTGCGCGGGGCCGTTGATGGCGATTCCCGTGGAGCCCCACTGGGCGCTAGCCTGCGCAGGCGCGGGCCGAAACTCCGATGGATTGCTGCTGTACAGTCGAGGCTGATAAGTAGGTCGACCCTGCCAAATCAAGGGCACCCCTGGGCCCCTGGCTGTGGGCGCGACGCCGCTCCAAGTCATTGCCAGGACACCTCAGCAGCAGCCAGCCACACTGCCGAAGATCTTCGTGCAGTGAGCACCTTCCCCCCAGCCCGCCCTCCGCGGCCGCCATCTCTCCCTCCCCTCCTCGCGCTGCCAGACAGTGAGTATGCTTCGCCCCGGCCACCAGAGCGCGCGAGCGGAGTGCCTCTGCCGGGCCGCGACGAGAACAGATGTCCTGCGTCTCGCTGCTCGTGCCTTCTACATCCCTGTGGCAGTGTGGCCTTCAGAAAGTCAGAGCCCCGAATCATCAGGGGTAACTCGGGTCAGGGATAACTCGGGTTCGTTTTTCGGGAATCCAAACCCGAGTTACCCCGGACCCGAGTTACCCCGGATAACTCGGGCGTCCAGAGCCCCGAATCATCAGGGGTAACTCGGGTCAGGGATAACTCGGGTTCCTTTCTCGGGAATCCAAACCCGAGTTACCCCGGACCCGAGTTACCCCGGATAACTCGGGCGCCCAAGAAAGGTATTGTGTCCTTTCGCGTGTCCTCTCCAATCCACCTCGGCCGTGCTGGGCATGCGGTGGTCGGCGCTGTGTGGGAGCCCGCCGACTGCAGCCAGATCCGGGGCCGCACCTCCTCGCGTTCCCCGCCCTCGCACCTCTGAGCGCCGCCAGCGTCGAACGCCTCCTCCCGCGCGCACAGCATTCAGGTCTCCGCTTGGAGTGTCGAGCAGTGCCGAGGCGTCCTGGCTTGCCTGTAGGCCTACCAAAGGATGTTCCAAGAATTGGTGGTGGTTTGCACGGAATTTTCTTCGAACATGTCTGGTTGAGCCTGTATTGTCTCAGTACATCGGTTCTATGTTTTAAGAACAGTGCGCTTGTTCTTAGATCAGTCGTTGGTTCTAAGAATATTTCTTGGTAGGCCTATTGGAATGCCGGGTGGTTGGCCCCCGCTCAAAAGTGCCGCGATTGGCGCCCGTGGTGCCACCAGAGCAGTGGGATGCGTCGTGCGCCGGCCGCCTGGCGCTCGCGCGCGCGTGTGTCGACGCTCACTGGCCGGCAGGCAGCGTGGGAAGAGCGGTGGTGGTAATTTGAGGGCTCTCTTTTAGGGCAATTTTCCTCTGCCCTTCCGTGAGCAGACACAATGAATCGTCGATTCCCTTGAAAATATGGGAAAATATGGGGAGTGGGGGGGAAGACAAAAGCTTAGAAAATATGGGGAAATATGGGGAATCCTGCTATTTGTATATATTTATATGTGTGTCCTGGGGCCCCTTCCGTGAACTTCTCCCGCCTGGTCCCCGCGGGCGGGCGTGGCCAGTGAGCGCATCGAGGACCTCCTGTCCTGGCCTCGAGGCTGGCGCAGGGCAGGCCCTTCCTGTCGGGCGTTGCCCTCCGCTCGCTCCCAGGCTCACCTCGCCCCTTCGCCAGCGAGCCTTGACATTAAGTCGGGCCTGTCCCTCTACAGGGGGGATATTCAAAAATTGTAAAAAATAGTCTGGGGACTATTTTTTGACTACTTTTGAGCATTGTTCCCTACCTAGGCTCTGCCTAGAAGGGTTCTTACTCGCTTCGCTCAAAGGGGCCGGGCAGTGTAAACCGCCCCGGGCGGTTCCCCCAGCCCCCTGGGAGCCAAGCAAAAGCAACAGCAAAGGTAAAAGCAAACGCGCGGTTCCCCCAGTTGCGCTCCCTGGGTGCCAAGCAAAAGCAAAGGCAAAAGTGAATGCAAAAGCGAAGGCAAAGCAAAGGCATAGCATAGCATAGCATAGCATAGCGCAGCATAGCACAGCGCAGCATAGCATAATATAACATATCATAGCATAACATAGCCTAGCCCAGCATAGCATATCATTGCGCAGCATAGCATAGCGTAGCATATCATAGCATGGCACAGCATAGCGCAGCACAGCATAGCATCTCCGTGCCTGCTTGCTCTTGCTGCTGTCTCGGCGACTTGCTGCCTGCTTCTGCTGCTGCTTCACTTACGGCGTGGCGTCGGCGGTTCTGGCGCTACTACTACTACTACTACTACTACTACTACTACTACTACTACTTACTACTACTACTACTACTACTACTACTACTACTACTACGACTACTACTACTACTACTACTACTACTACTACTACTGCTACTACTACTACTAATACTACTACTACTACTACTAATACTAACTACTACTACTACTACTACTACTACTACTACTACTACTACTACTACTACTACTACTACTACTACTACTACTACTCCTACTCCTACTCCTACTCCTATCCTTATTCCTTATTAGAATATACTCCTACTCCCCCCTCAGGCCGGCCATTAGGGGCCGCATCCGGGTGGTCCCATCCTAACCTGTAAAAAACAATACAAAATCAACATTTTTCTTATTTTTTCCTCTCGACATGGACGTCCTGTCGTCCACGGCGATAATCCATTGCAAAAAATACCACAAAGAGCACACGCGCGCGTTCATGTCAGAATCCTACCGAACACCGTGTGTTTGCAAGCATTTCAACATAAAAACATCAAAAACCCAATGCTTTTTCACAAAAATTGTACAAATTTCCCGCCCGGGCTCTCTTGCTGAAATCATAGGAAAACCATAGGAATCTTAAGAATTCGGTCAAATCCAGCGATTTCACGTCATCGCGCGGTGCACTCGCGATGCTCTGTCATGCACCCAGGCCGCGAATCCTGTGCAAAAAATACCACAAAGAGCACACTCGCGCGTTCATGTCAGAATCCTACCGAACGCCGTGTGTTTGCAAGCATTTCAACATAAAAACATCAAAAACCCAATGCTTTTTCACACAAAAATGCTTTGGGGTGTCCTGTCAGACCGTCGGGCTTCCTCCGGCCACCTCTGGCTTCCTGCGGTGTACCGGGCCATTCTCGACTCGTCTGGCAATGCGTGCGCGGCATTCAACACGCGCTCGCCAGTTCCCGTCGGCAACCGCCATCGCGGCAGCATCAGCTGTACCAAACCGGCTGGCCGGTGTGACTTCGGCCCC